TCTAGGACTTTGAACATAAATGCACGCTGAATTTTGTCACAAGCCTTTTCTGCATCTATTGAGATGACAATGTGATTTTTGTCTTTGAGTCCATTTATATGCTTAATGATGTTTATTGATTTGCATATATTGAAGCATCCCTGCATCTCTGGGATAAAGCATACTTGATCATGGTGAATGATCTTTTTGATGTGTGTCTGTATGCAGCTTGCAAGTATTTTGTTGAGAATTTTTGCATCTATCTTCATTACGGATATGGGTCTCTAGTTTTCTTTTTTGGTTGTGTCTTTACCCGGTTTGGGTATTAGAGTGATGCTGGCTTCCTAGACCGAATTTGGGAGTTCTCCCTCTGTTTCCATTGTTCTGAATAATTTAAGTAGTATTGGTTGTAGGTCTCCTTTAAATGTCTGGTAGAATTCTGCTGTAAATCCATCTGGGCCTGGGTTTTATTTAGTTGGGAGGTTTTGTATTACTGTTTCAATTTCTCGTATGTTATGGATCTGTTTAAACTGTTGATCTCTTCTTGGTTTAACTTTGGTGGTTCCCATGATTTTAGATATCCATCCATTTCTTTTAGATTTTCAGATTTGGTGGCATATAGGTTTTAAAAAATTCCCTTATAATGGTCTGGATCTTTTGGGTGTCTGTTGTGATGTTTCCCCTTTCATCTCTGATTTTGTTGATTTGGATTTGCTCTTTCTTTCTTTTGGTTAACTGGGCTAAAGGTCTATCTTGTTTAGCTTTTCAAAGAACCAGCTCTTAGAATCATTGATTCTTTGTCTTGTTTTCTTTATTTCTATTTCATTAATTTCTGTTTCGATTTTTGTTATTTCTTCACTTCTGCTAGGTTTGGGTTTCCTTTTGTTCTTGCCTTTCCAGGGTCTTGTGTTGCCATGTTAGGTCATTTATTTGGGCTCTTTCTAATTTTTTAATGTAGGCACTTAGAGCCATAAACTTCCCTCTTAGGACTGCTTTTAAGGTGTCTCAGAGGTTGTGTTGTGTTTTATTTTCCTTTTTGTTGAATTCCAGGAATTCTTTTCTTTCTTAATTTCTCCTTTGACCCCCTTGTTTAGCAGTGTGTTGTTCAATCGCCATGAGTTCATGTAGTTTTAGCGCTTTGTCCAGAATTGATTTTGAGCTTTATTGCATTGTGGTCTGATAGAATGCATGGGATTATTTAAATTCTTTTGTATTTGCTGAGGTTTGTCTTGTGGCTCAGTATGTGATCAATTTTTGGGAAAGTTCCATGAGGTACTGAGTAGAAAATGTATTCTTTGGTGCTTGGGTAGAATATTCAAAAGATGTCTTTTAGGTCCATTTAATGTATGGTATCATTTAATTCAGACATCTCTGTTTATTCTTTATCCAGTTGACCTGTCTAATGTAGACAGTGGGGCCCCTACTATTACTGAGTTATGGTTATTCTGTGTCTTAAAGTCCTGTAGTGTTGATTTTATGAATCTGGGTACACTAGAGTTTAGTGCATATATGTTAAGGATTGTAATGTCTTCTTGGTTAACTTTTTTCTTTGATCAGAAAGAAGTGACCCTCCTTATCTCTTCTGATTAGTTTTACTTCGAAGTCTATTTTGTCAGATATTACAATTGCAATCCCTGCTTGTTTCTTAGTGCCATTTGCTTGGAATATTCTTTTCCATCCTTTTACCTTAAGGTAGTGCCTGTCCTTGAAGGTGAGAGAGGTTTCTTGCAGACAGCAAAGAATGGATTTTGTTTCTTAAGCTATTCACTTAGCCTATGACTTTTGACTGGGGAGTTCAGGCCATTGATATTTAAGGTTATTATTGAAAGGTGTGTATTGGTTGCCATCATTTTGGCTGCTGTTTGTGTTCTTGGTGTAATTTTGTGTTTCCTAGATTATATCTTTATTTTCTTTCATTGCCCCTAGGGTATAGTTGTTTCTCTCTCTGCTCTCTGTATTGCTTCAAATATGCTTTGAAGGGCTGGTTTTGTGGACACGTATTCTTTCAGACTAATTGTGTCATGGAAGACTTCCCCCCCCTCAACTATAACAGACATTTTTGCTGGGTAACATATTCTGGGCTGGCATCTATTGTCATTTAGAAGTGGGAATACCTTGGTCCAGGCTCTTCTGGCTTTCATAATTTGCATTGTTAAGTCAGCTGTAATTCTGATGGGTTTTCCTTTGTATGTGACTTGTTTTTCTTTTGCTGCTTTCAGTATTCTCTCTTTGTTCTGGGATGTCTTTCCTTAATTTTGGGAAATTCTCTTCTACAATCCTGTTTAAGATCTGGTCAGCACTATTAACCTGACATTCTTCTCCTTCCTCTATTCCTATGATCTATAGATTTGGTCTTTTCATGGTGTTCCACATCTCTTGTGTATTCCATTCCTGTGTTTTTGCAAAATTTTCCATAATCTTTGCTTCTGTGGTCCCATTCTTCAACCTTATCCTCCAGTGTTGATATTCTGTTTTCCATTTCATTCATTCTATTGGTGAGGCTTTCCCCTGTTGTTTCAAGTTGGCTTATTGAGTTTTGCACTTCCTTCTTCATTTCTGCCTGAGTTTTCTTCAGTGTTTCTATCTCTTTTGTGAATTCATTCAGAAATTTATCCCTATCTTCTTTTAGTTCTTCCTTTGTTCATGTGTTCTTTAAATTCTTTGAATTTCTTGATCATGTTTATGATTGTTCTTTTAAATTCAGTGTCCTAGGTTATCTCTAGGGATTCTCCTTGTAGAACTCTTCTACAGGATTGGTGGCGTTTGGTGGAGACATAGTGTTTTGGCTTTCCATTTTATTATTCTTTCGTTGTGATTTTGGCACATGAATTTCTTTTGTTGTTTATAATTCTGATATGAGAATTAGATTTAAGTATGCTTCTGTTTTTATTTTCTGGGTGCTTAGATTCTTTATTGGGTATGTAAAGCTGGTTGGTACAGGGTTCAGGTTCTCTCAGGTTTAATTTGGAGGGAACTGATGTCTTCAGGTCAGCTATTCAGGAGTACCCACAGAAGCCCAATTCAGGTTCGGCTCAGGTACACTCAGGCTTCCTTCACCATATGGAGGCAGGATCTGGGCACTCTCAGGCAGTCCACCCTCTCAAGTTGTCTGCTAAGATCTCAGCCTTAGCCTACCAAAGCCAGATCTGCTCTGGGGCCTTAGGAGGGGCCTCATGAAATCCCAGGTGGGGGGATGGGTATGGCATAATTAGGGGAAGCTCACCATCAATAAGGGGGCAGGATGGGGGCTCTCAGGCAGTCCCTTGAGTTCCCAGCCCCTCTGTCAGAGAGAGGCAGAGGAGGCCAAAACTGGACACTCTCTGGCAGTCTGCTGAGATCAGAGCTGCTACACCGATGGAGGTCAGAACCCTCTCAGGCTGTTTACTAGAACCTACAGTATTTATTTTTATATTTGTTAAAGCATCTTATAAAATGTATTCTTTGCTGGGTATGATGTTGTATGCCTTTAATCCCAGCACTTGGGAAGCAGAGGCAGGCAGATCTCTGGAGAGTGAGGTCAGCCTGGTCAGTTTCCAGGCTGACTGGGGCTACAGGGGAATCCTGTCTCAAAAAAACTAAAAACTTTTAAAAAAGAAAAAAGAAAGAAAAATTATTTGTGAGCATTTTGCCTTTTGAATACCCTATTGAAATTAAGAATATACATTTAAAATGCTGTTGATTTTCACGTTAGCATACAAGGAAGTGTGGTGTTTTCATACGTATGTGTCATACTTCTTTCTCATTCACTCCCCTCCCACACTCCCCTCAACATCTCGATGATTACGTTATGAATATACTTTTGGGAAGTCCCAGATGAGCCAGATGTCATGGCACACATCTTTAATCCCAGCACTTGAGGGGAAGAGGGAGACAAATCTCTGAGTTTAGGACTAGCCTAGTGTACATAATGACTTTCTAGGTCAGCCAGATCTGTACAGTAAGATCCTGTCTCAGAATAATAAGAAGCCCGTTATTTGCATTGTCAGCTGTTTAACATCTCTTGTGCTTGGCGCATAAATGTTACTCTTCCCTGGGAGGCCCCTAAGGACATTTCTCATTGCTTTCATTGGGCTGTTCCTGGAAGATTTGGTCCAGTCCCAGTTCCTGATTATCTGTGACTCTGTAATATGGATGTCTCTTTTGGATAGTGTGTCATGACAACTTCTTCTATAGACAGCTGATAGGGATAATTGAAATCAGTGTAAATCCATACCCTGCTCAGATTTGTTCTGCTCCTTGGCATGTGTTTGACATGGAACGTGCCTGGTCCCCTCTGTTGAATAGCAGAAAGCCACTGCCTGGCCTCCTTTTCCATTAGCTCTCCAATTCTTGTTGGTTTTGTCAGTATTGTCCTGTCTGCTCTCAGGCTCCTTGGCTTAACTCCTGCCAGGACCTTCTAACAAATCTAGGAACAACTCTAGCCCAGAGATGACCATTTAAAGACAAAATCTGTTCTCTTACTTCCTTAGTATCTGCTTCTTCTCTCCTGTCCCCACACCAACCTCCATCTTCCATCTCTGAGCCTCTCTGGGCTTCCTAAACACATGCTGCTATATTGTGGTACCTAGCCAGTGCTACATACCTGTGCTTGTGTCATTCCCCAGCATCCCCTGATCTCCTTCCCTTTTTTTGCTTAATTGACCTAGGCCCTTGCTAGGCAAGGTTCTCCTCCATACCCACAGCACTGGGAACCCCTTTCTGTTGCCATGTCCTGTCACTGTTGTCTGTTTAATGCCTGCGTGTCTTCTCCCTGGGGCTCTAAGCTCCCTGGGGGAGGGATGTCTGAGTTCTATGTCCCCAGCACAAAATAGGGTGAGGATTGTGGAGGACCTCAAGGAAATTGAACAATATTTGGAAATTTGACTTTGAGAAAAGCACTAAAAATATATAAAGAACACAGAGTATATTTTTTCTAATTTCATAAGATGAATGAGTTATTAAAATATTAATTTAATATACTATATCCAATATAAGGAAAGATAGATAAACAGACATCATTCTCTCTCCTGTTATTTATATTTTCATGAATTAATTAGGAAGAATAGAAATAAAGGTTAATATAAGCAATATTTTCAATTCATTGATGTCTGCATAGGTATATACACATACCTGTGTATACGTTTGAAAGTATTTTTTAATTTGCTATTAGAAAATGGAGTTCATTTAAATCTTTTCTTCTCTGAATAGTTTTCCAAAGTATTCTGATGCCTTAAAAACTTTTCTTTTAAAGATAAGGTCTCCCTGTAGTCCCAGAAGGCCTGGAACGTGCTATGTAGGCCAGGCTGGCCTCGATCTCATAGAGATCTGCCTGCCTTTGCCTCCTGATTGCTGAAACTAAAGGCATGTGCCACAGTGCCTAGCTCTAATGCCTTAAATTTTTTAAGTAAAAAAATACTTTGATGTTTCTGCACATTTGGAACTCAGTTGCTTTACCCTTCTGACAAGATTCTTTTCCCCTTCTTCCCCAGGCTATTAGTCCTTATCTTCCGAGAGGAGATCCAGTTCTGAAACCACTCATCTATGAAATGATCCTACACGAATTTTTGGAAAGTGATTATGAGGTTTGTGTTCTCACTGGATCACTGCTTGTTCTCAGTGGGACATGCTAAGAAATCTAAAAATTTTATTTTCATTATCATTTCACAATTGTTTACACATGAGTTTGATTCCAAAACTTATTTCAATTATGTCATCAAAATTATCCCATTGATTCATGGCCTGTGTGGAAAACTCTTGACTGGGACTGAAGGAAATAACCCTGACTTAAACGTCAAGCCTAGAGATTTTTCTCCTGCATATGTTAAGATGTCTGCCTCTTCAGTATCATTAAGAAAATCAGAAATAGTGGCAGGAGACCAACAAACCATAAATTGGGGCTTTCACAACCCCTTTCTGAGGTTCAGTTAATTTGTTCTAGTGGCTACAAAACTCAGACAAACACGGTCACCAATTCATTGTAAAGACTGTTACGAAGGATCCCAGTGAAGAGATGTACAGGGTGAGGCATGTGGGGAGGGACAGAGCTCTCAGACCTTCTATGGGCAGTCCACCCTCCAGGACTCCTCATTGTATAGGCATGGTTGCCAGCAGAGCCTTCCTCATGGGCAGGGAGCTGTACCCCTCTGGAGGGGCATCTTATGACCTCCTGCCTAAGTTTGTGACCTACTGGGGAAGGAATAAAGAGCAAGAGACGGGTGCATGAAAACCCAGATGTACATCCCAGTGCTACGCCATTTAGAGCGCTCTTTTGCTGTTTTCCTTTGCTTAGGGTTTTGCCACACTGATCAGGGAATGGCCTGGAGATCTGTATAACAATTCAGTGATTGTTCAGGCAGTCCGCGAGCACCTGAAGAGAGATAGCCAAAACAAGACTCTATTGAAAACCCTGGCAGAGTTGTGAGTATGTTTTAGTTATTTTTCCAAATCCATTTTCGTTGAGAATTATATCATTCTTTAGATTTGCAAACTCTGAATGGGATGGGAAGGGTGCCTTTTTATTTTCCTTAATCAGAAAATTTGAAGATTATACATTGTAAATTTGATGAGAGAAAAGGTGAGGTTCTGAGAAAGAAGTACTTATTTATCATGCTCTGTTAAATCTCAAAGTTATCTTTTTTCTTTGAACAACTGTTTCAGTTTTTGATATGAAACATAATCTGTGCATTTTAATTAGAGCTGCTAATGAATATTAAATTTCTTTTATTTCCAGGTACACCTATGACAAAAATTATGGCAATGCTCTGGAAATATACTTAGCATTAAGACATAAAGATGTTTTCCAGTTGATACACAAGCATAATCTTTTCAGCTCAATCAAGGATAAAATTGTTTTATTAATGGATTTTGATTCAGAGGTAATGTGTTACGTATTACTACTATTCAAAGGTTGAATCACTGGCCACCTGTGCAAGCAAATCACATACTAGACCGCGTGCAGATAGATCATGTTAGAGCCCTCTGACCACTGCTGCCTGTTATGTTAGTAGTTGCCATTCAGAAACGCCTTTCCTTGCAATCATTATTCTATGAAAGCAGTTGTAGTTTGATGTCCAGCTTTTGGGGGGGGTGGGGAAGGGACTACAGATCAAATTCAAGGCCTATTTACATAGTAAGCACAAGCTCTTCCACTGAGCTCTATCCCAAGTCTGATGTAATGCTGTTACAGAAGTGTATGTGCAAAACTTTATGCTTCAGGTCATCTTAATCTATGTCCTAGAATGAATGAATTTCTGTATTGACTCTCTTCCTGCCCTTTATTCCTTAGCATTCAAGAATCTAGCATTGGGATTTCAATTTGGTCTCAATAACTTAGGACTAGGGCATTCTCTCTGTTTCTCTCTCTCATCAAACAAACACACACACACACACACACACACACACACACAGACATTCATAAAAAGGAATCAAATTAAAAGAAATAATGAGGTTCGTAAGCATCATGCTCTCATTCAGATACTTTCCCTGGAAGACTATAGTGGTTAAAAAAAAAATCTAACTAGCACTTGGGAGGCATAGACAGGTGGCGGATCTCTGTGAGATCAAGGCTAGCCTAGTCAACATAATGAGGCTAGGCCAACTCGGTCTACAGGGAGACCCTATATCAAAAAAAAAGAAAAAAATCTAGCCAGATGTGCAAGTCTCAATGCAAAAACACAATAAGTATGACCCAGACATGGAATTCCAAAAATGGTTAGCTGTAAGCTCAAACTGTGAGCTGAAATCAACCTTCCTTAGGTTGCTTTTGTCAGTTACCTCATCACAGCAACAAGAAAAATAACCAATACAGTTACCAAAAGCAATGTATGGATTCAATGAAATCTCATCAAAAATATATTGACATTCTTCACAGAACTAGAAAAAAAAAAATCTCAAATCTATACGAAAGCACAGAAGACCGATTAGCTAAGGCAGTCCTGAAGAAAATGGTGGATTTATCACCACACCAAATAGAAAGTAATCCTGGAGCCATGGCAACAAAAATTTCGTGGCTCTGGGACAAACCAAATAGATGGATGGATTGGAATAAGCCCACACAGTTACTGACACCAGATTTTTCAACAAAGTTGCTGTAATTATACATTGGAGAAAAGAGAACCTCTTCAACAAATGGTTCTGGGAAAACCATCCCATTTCACATATAGAAGATTGAAATGGTCGCTACCTCTCACCCTATACAAAAAGTTAATTAAACATGTGCCAAAGAGCGTATTGTAAAACTTGAAACTGAAATTGATAGAGGAAAACAAAAAGTAAATATTTTCAGATTTAGACATAAGAACTTTCTGAAAGGATGCTTTTCCTTCCTTCCTTCCTTCCTTCCTTCCTTCCTTCCTTCCTTCCTTCCTTCCTTCCTCTCTCCCTCCCTCCCTCTCTCTCTCCTTCCCTCCCTCCCTCCCTCCCACCATTACATGGGTTCCATGTATCGAACTCAGATCATCAAGCTTGTTCAGCAAGTGCCTTTATCCACCCACTGAGCTATCTCATTGGCCCAACAGTTTGACTCTAAGTGACTAAGAATTGCTTGTGTTGAAAAGAATAACACTTTGGACCGAAGCCCCTGTCCCTAAATCCTATTGCAGCTTCTCAGCAAAAGAAATAAGAGAAAAAAAACGTTGCAGCCTTGCCTTTTACTACTTAAATCTTGTCACCCCCTTGAGGGTACACCAGTCCTGGAGATATGCAGTACTTGAAAAGGACTCTTAAATTAAAACTCAGGAAATAAAACTGTGAGTTAACAGATAGGATTGCATAAAACTAAGAAGCTTCTGCACAGCAAAGAAAATTAATCAGGAGACAGTCTATAGAGAGAGAAACCTGTGCAAGAATATATAATGAACTCAAACAAATGCTAAGAAACTAAACAATCCAATTATTAAATGGACTAGTAAGATAGAAATGATACACAAATGTCCAATAAACATGAAAAAATGTTCATCTTTAGCTATCAAAAATTCAAAGTAAAATGGTGTAAAGATTTGTTCTCATGTCAGTCAGAATGACTGTTATTAAGAAAACAGCTAACAGCAAATGCTACAGAGAATGGTGCTTATACACTGTTGATGGAAATGTAGATCAGTCTAGCCACTGTGGAAATCAGCATGGAGGGTCCTTGAAAAACTAAACCCTATCACCCAGCTGTCCCACTCCTGCATACATGCCTGAAGGAATCTAAGTCAGCATACCACCGGTATAAGTTGCAGTTCTCTGCACAGTAGTCAAGTTAAAGGACTCAGTCTAGGTTTCCATCAACAGATGAACAGGTGAAAATGTGGTATATAGGCTCAAGGGAGTTTCATTCAGCCATAAAGAATGAAAATAACTGCTATTAAAGATCATATTAAGGAAAATATGTCAAGACTCAGAGAAATTATATCTTTTCTTTTTGTGGATCCTAGATTTTTATAGACACAAAATCATTTATGAATCTACGTCATGAAGTCGAGGGAAAACTGAGGGAACCAAGGAAGTTAGTGAGAGGGAGGGGAGAAAAAGGAGAAGGACGGGAGAGCAAATATGATCAGAGTGTGGGATACTTGGATGAGCATCTTTATAAACCCGTTAGTCTGTACAACTGTTTGAATATTGGATGTACACTAACAAAAGAAAGGATGAGATGCGAATGAAGGTGCATGCTGCCAAGCCTGAGGGTCTGTTCAGTCTCTAGGACTCAACATGGAAGGAGAGAATTGACCCTGAAATTTGTCCTCAGATCACACATGCACTGGAGCAAGTACATGCCCCCCCCCACACAGACACACATACACACACACATTACTAAATCTAAATTTTTAAAAATTATTACCAGTTCCCTTATCCAGCCTCCTCTCCAGTGTCTTGGAGCCTAATCCTCATATTTACCTTTGGAAAGGAGTTGGCCAAGCTGAAACTTACTGCTATTCATGAGTTTGAACTAAAGTTAAGGTATTGGAGTTTTCTAATTAGATCTTTGGAATCATAACATTTGGAGCAGACAACAGGGTAGTGACAGAGTCACAGGACCCAGGTTTTCTACAGAAGGCCCAATCTGGTGGGCTATCTTCCTACTATCTCTTGTCATAAGCTAATTTGTGTTTTATGACTGTTATATATGGCTATAAAAACTCTAAAGTCTACCAGCTTTATGCCTTAGGAAAGCTCAGGAATCTTTATCATTTTCTTGCTCTTAATCTCTTCTACACAGAAAGCTAGACCCTTTGTGGACTCTCATAACGATTCTTGGTCAAGGTTTGGGTAGTCCGAAGCAAAGTTTACTTTTGTGATTGTGGTAATGTGATCTCCATAGCTACTGAGGATCATGTGGGAACTTGTAAAAGTATCAGAGACATGGAGGGGGCTAGCATATATGTTTCCTACTTTGAATGTTTTTTATATTTAATAAAATAGAGCAATGCAGCATTTTAATAATAAGCAAAACACATAGATCTCAGGTTAAGACACATTAGAAAGTGCATTCCTCTACAAATGACATTTTACAGAAGGACATCTGTGAAGCTCTGTGCTGTATAAGTGTAAGAAACAGGCCCTCCACCTTTAGCCTTGGTAGTGTGTGCACTGCATTGTGTTCGGTGTTCTCATGGAGCACACAAGTGACTATGGCTGTTTTTGTTTTTCAGAAAGCTGTTGACATGCTTTTGGACAATGAAGATAAGATTTCAGTGAGTGTCCTTTTTCTCTTTCTAATAACACAGCACCACAGACTGGATAAGTTTTAGAGAAAAGGGGTTTTTTTGGCGTGTAGTCTGGTTAAGAGACTGCATTTGGGTGATGGCCTTTGTGCTGGTAGAGTTGGAAGTCAGTGTTGGACGTCACATGACAAGAGATAGGAAGAGCACAAGTGAGAGGCCAGGTATGCAGTGTGAAGAGAAAAAGCAGATGAGTAGGTAGCTGGGAGGAGCCAGGCTCAGCCTTACCCCTGTGTGCTCTCATGCTACCTAACCCACTCAGGGACAGGCGTTATCACCTTCATATGGACAGTCATGATCCAGTCACCCCCACCGCTTGATCCTACCTCCTAAGAGTCCCACCACCTTTCAGCTGATCACATTCAGAATCAAGCATGGACATGAGTTTTGGTGGGGAACAAGTCACATTCAAACCATAGCAGTGTGTTACTAGATGAATGTCTAGAACCATTTTACCCATAAGGAATAAAGAAAGTATCAGATGATTTGTAAATGTGATTGTTTCTTCATGACTGCGTTTTGAATTTTTCTGTTTTTCTCAGATTAAAAAAGTGGTAGAGGAATTAGAAGACAGACCAGAATTGCAGCATGTGGTGAGTATCACAGTCTTCTTTGTTGCGTTTTGATTCAGCAGTGGGCCAGAGCACCTTGTGGTATTGGTGAGAGAACTTTCCATGGCATGAACTTTGCATGGAAGTTGCTACTTAGATTGGGGTTTTAACCACAAACACTATGTAGAAATTACTAGAATGTAACACATGCTATGAATCTGTGGCTAGGTATTAACTGCAAAACAGGCATTTAAAGTTTGATTTACAGTTTTACTGTGATTTTTTAAGTATGTTTGAATTTTACCCTTTCTATATACAGAAGAGTTCAGAGAAACACTTCAATTCACAATAGCGTCCGAAAAATATGTATCTAACCTAACAAAGACATTAACACCCATTCAATGAAAACTTTAAATCTTTGAAGAAAGAGATTGAGGAGATACAGAAGATGGAAGGACCTCCCGTGCTCATGGGTAATATATTAGAATCAATATAGTGAAAATGACCATCCTACCAAAAGCAATTTACAGATTTAATCCAATCCCAATCAGAATCCCCATGAGAGTCTTCACAAAAATAGAAAAATCCATCCTAAAATTCATATGGAAACACAAAAGACACTGGATAGCCAAAACAATCCTAAGCACAAAGAGCAATATCGGGGGAATTACCATACCTGACCTCAATCTGTATTACAGAGCTACAGTCATAAAAAACAGCATGGTATTAGCACAAAAACAGACGTGTAGATCAGTGAAACAAAATAGAAGACCCAAACATGAGTGTACACAATTACAATCACCTAATATTTGACAAAGGTACCAAGAACACACACTACAGGAGAGATAGCATCTTCAACAAATGGTGCTGGCAGAACTGGATCTCCACATATAGAAGAATGAACTTAAATCCATACTTAACACCCTGTACAAAAGTCAACTCCAAATGGATCAAAGACCTCAATGTGACGCCTGAAACTTTGAAACTGTTAAAAGGAAACATAGGCAGTACCCTAAGATAGGTGTAGGAAAAGACTTTCTAAATCAAACATCAGTGGCTCAGAAATTAAGGTCAACAGTCAACAAATGAGATTTCATTAAAAAAGCTTCGTACAACAAAGAAAACAGCCAATCGAGTTAACAGAAAGCTTACAGAGTGGGAGAAAATCATCAGCAGCTATTCATTTGATAGAGGATTAATATCCAGAATAGGCAAAGAACTCCAAAAACAAATGACTCAATTAAAAGATGGGCTATGAATCTGAACAGAAAGTTCTCAAAAGGATTTTGTTATTATTTACCATTCTATGTCTAGGAATAAGTGCCTTTCCTCTGTAGTTGCATTAAATATAATCAGGTTATAAGTTATAGCACAAGCTGTTGGTGCTCTATAGATACCAGTCCTGCCATTTCACGCACAGGACCATAGGGCGACCCAAAGAGTCTTATATTCTTGCCCCTCTCCTTGACAATAGCTAGTCATACCTCGTCTGTGTAGGTTTGATGGCTATATTATAAAAGCTTGTTAGTCTAGAGTTCCTTGGAGGCTACTTTGATTCGGTGCATCATATCCTCCAAGGGTATAAGCAGGAGCAGATATTTCCTGTATCCTTTAAAAAAATTATATAAGAAGATACTTGAGTGACCGTGGGATTATACCATTAGGACATCTTTGATTGTAGTGTTCTATTCAGAAGTCAGTTTATATGTTGAAACTCTTGAGACTCAAGGATAAGAATGTAATAGGCATATACTTTGGTTTTGTTTATTGCTTAGGATTGAATCTAGATGCTATTACTTTATGACAGAAATCTCAATATTATCTGCTTACCCAAGCAAGGTCCCACTCTGCTAGCACCTTGGAAATTTGTGTATAGAACAGTGATTTCTGGCCTGTTTAAGCTATAAGACAGGGTTACGGGCAGCAGCTCTCTGTGACACTGTAGTCAGTGAAAGGGGTACTGAGCTCATGTGAAAGAGGCTCATCTCCCCTACCTAGCAATGTAATGTCTGTATTACATGTGACACGGGTAAGCACCTGCTCCAGGAAAGCACTGTGTGTCCTAGTCACATACTGACCCTGTTGTGAGTAGCCTGACGGTACTTCTCATCAAACTTCAGCCTGGCAGATGAACTCAGTCTGGCTGCTCCATGTCCCCTCTTGCCCCAGAGAGTTATAAGCAGCCCAAGAGATGACTCTTGAAATACATATGTATGTCTTAACTATGTACAACAGCCAATGTCAAACATCATTGACTCCCTTACAGCTTCTATGGCAGACTGAGGCTCTTTGTCTGTTATGAACTTGTCACCTGGTTACAGACACTCAAGATGAATGCACTTTGTATGTGATATGATTGTGTCTTCCTTCCTCCAGTGGACTGTAGACTTCTTATTTGTATTCAATATTAACATTAAATCTGGATATTAGACTCAATCGTCTCCCTAAGTAGAAAGTGAAATACTTTGAAGTCCAGTTTTAAGAAAAACAGTACTTTATTTTTTCTTTTCTGATGTGACCAATGTAGGTACCATTTGAACACAAAAAGATGACCTTGAGACTTAGAAAAGGGGGATGTGGAATATATGAGAATCAATCCAGTTCCTATTTCTAGGGTTTTAACATACTCATGCAATGTCTCTGCCCTTTATGTAAAAGAATAGACTTTATAAGCATTTTATTTTTGAGGCAAAATAGATGCTGATGATTCTAACACCTGAGTAGTGCTTAGCAGATGCCAGGCATGGTTCTGGTTAATGCACAAATGGCAATTCATTTAATCCTTATAACAACCCAGTGAAGGTTTCTGCAGGTAAAGTCTTGAGTCATAGTGTGAGTAGGGACTTGCCTAAGGTCACCTCATTGTCAGTGGCAACAAGGCCACTCCAGAGCCTTCCAGGAGAGTCAGAACCAGTCTCCAGGTAGCATGATCCTTCCCACTCATCATCTAGAATGTTTCTGTTCTCAAGACCACTTTTTGCCACCTCTGCATGGAAGCAGTTGACAACTGAAAGTATTCAAGTTAGCCAACTGTCATATTTCTCTTATTTCAGTATTTGTGGCTTTCTTTTTAGTATTTGCATAAGCTCTTCAAGAGGGACCATCATAAAGGTCAGCGCTACCATGAAAAACAGATCAGTCTTTATGCTGAGTACGATCGGCCAAACTTGCTTCCCTTTCTCCGAGACAGTACCCACTGCCCACTTGAAAAGGTAAGCCATGGACACATCAGAAGTAGCTGTCATTTTTATAAGCCATTTGTCAGTATTCTTTCCCTAGGCTCTGTTCATCCAGTTGCTGTTCTGAGATCGGTAGGTTATGCTGGCCTGTTCTGGTGAGAGAGCATGTTCTCTTGGGCTAAACATGAGGAGGAACGCAGGCATTTCTGTCACTGGGTTAATTAGAATACATGTCTTATCCAGGACCCAGAACTTGACAGCTATCAAGCTGAAGTGACATCCAGAATCTGAGTATGTTTCCCAGGATTTGAGTGATCCCTGAGGGTCAGAGCCTCAGAGGGGAGACTGCCCAGAGCAAGTGCAGTTGCCATATCAGGAGTCGGGTTTTTTAAGCTTGGGTGTACACTCCATCTTCTCTGGGCATCTGCCACTGTACTTCTGTGTTTCTCTGACATGCCTATGTCATATTATAATTGCCGGTTCACTAGTCCACCTTCCCGATTCACCTGTACATGCTTCAGAGCAAGGAGTATCTTTATTAGTTTGGATAAGAGTCACTAACTCACATTTTTAGGACTCTTTAAATGGCCTTTAGCATTACAGGTTACTAAAACTTCTTCATTACAGTTTATTTCTTTATCAGGATCCTACAGGAACTCTATTTGCAAAAAACATGCTACCCAGCCCTACTCAGGAACTCAAAGTCATCTTAAAAAGATATTCATGGCTTATTAATTCATTAAGGGCCTGGGTTTTTGCCTTAGAAATAAGAATTCTGTACACAATCATCTAAGAGACTGATTTCCTTTATGTGTGCTCATACCCTGTCAGCACTACTGTGACTGACAGCTGGTCCTCACTGGCAGGCACCCCAGGCAGCTGACAGTGAGTGACATCATGAAATACAGGCTGACCTGTTCCGTCTCGAGAGACACAGCAAATGTGGCCTTTTCTCCTGTATATAAAACTAAGAACTTTAAAGTTCTAGTGCCTTCCTCCCCAGAGTCATCTTTTGCTTCATAAGACTAACCCTGTGCAGGCTATTTACCTTTGTTGGATAATCATTGAGAGAAGAAGGATTGCAAATTGACAACTAGTTGAAATCCAGATCAACCTTATTTCATATGGCTTGAACTCTCAAATCATACTAATTACCCAGAAACTTACAGCAACCCTGTAAGGAGTTCCATTATCCAGCTTCATATATTCAGGATTTAAAATCTATTTTATTGGGTGTAATAACACATGCCTTGAATCTCAGGACTTGGGAGGCAGAGGCAGGCAGATCTCTGTGAGTATGAGGTTAGCCTGGTCTGTATAGTGAGTTTCAGACCAACCAGGATTACATAGTGAGGTTCTGTCTCCAAACAACAACAACAACAAAGAAGTAGTAAAGTAAAATCTCCACATTTCTTTAATTTTTTTATGGAATTGTTCATTGTAAAGAAGATCCAGAGTTTGTAAGGGTTTATAGCAATTACAACTTTTTTTCTTAATTTGTATGTATGTGTGTGTCTGTGTGTGGGTATGTGCACATGAGTCAGGTACCTGCAGAAGTCAGAGTTGTGGGATCCCCCAGGAGCTGGACCTGATATGGTTGTCGGGAATTGATCTCAGTACCCTGGGAAAGCAGTGCTCTTAACTGCTGAGCCATCTCTTCTTTAGCCCATTAATTTACAGCTATTAGCGCAGTAAATGCCTTCATCTTTTTGCCATGCTTTATGACATGTGCTGTGTTTTCATCTGCTTTGTGCTGCTTCATCTCTATAGAAGTGCAGTTAGGTGGATAGAGTCAACCTGTATTTGACAGTCTGAGTCTTGGAAAGTGAAGGAGACAGCCATACGCTAGGACTCAAAAGTTGAGGCACCAAGATGTGGAACCTGTATCTTTGAAACTCTGGTCCCATATTCTTTCTGGTGAGGAATCCTTTTTTCAGGTTTAAAACGTTCGTTAAAATAATGACAACAGGGACTTGAGAGTTGGCTCAGCAGTTAAAAGCACTGGCTGCTCTTGCAGAAGACCAGGGTTCAAATCTTAGCACCTACCATCTGTAACTCCAGTTCCAAGGAATCCAATGCCCTCTTCTGTCCCTCCAAGGGCATTGCACAGCACAGGTACACTTACATACACACAGGCAATACACTCATACACATAAAATTAAAATAA